AGACTTAATGACAACCAAGCTTCATTATTTCTGTTTTGTGTATGAGGAAACTGACTCACAGAGGGTCCAGCAATTTTCTCATTCACGCTGTGAGTTATTACCAGAACCATGAATGAAACTTAGGATGAAACCCTATTTCATAAACCATTAAACCCTGTATCCTTTATAGGAGTGGAGTTTACTATAATAATGACATCTTTGTGTTGAGAGTTCATTCCTTTATTCTGTGATTAAATCTTGGCTTATGTGGGGCAGAAGCATCCCACTACAATGCCAGTTTGAGTTGTTCTGCACTGCAAAGCAAGATGGGAAAAGTTGTGTGTTTTGGTGATGCCCAGACCATTCAGAGCTTATTGTTTTCATCCATCCCTCCATTTATTAATTTATTCATTCCATTATCATATATCTGAGTCCCTATTACATCATCTGGAAAATGGGCAGAGTAATATTACCATTAGCAAAAGGCTGTTTTGAGAAGGTAATTTCTATAATGCACATTGTCTAGCACATAGTAAGCCCTTATTCATAATAATTATTTTCATTAAACAAGCAATTCCAAGTGCCACATGGGAAGACAAAAAAAATGGTTATTTTATAGCCCTATTTATGGGTGGAGAGGGCAAGGTTGCTTCTGAAGGGTGGATTAATTCCTGGGGAAGAGGCAGATCCCTCAAATTAAAAACTGGTACAGAGCAGATGGGCCTCAGGTAGACCAGAGAGGGGTTCTCCGAGTTTGGACTAAGTATCAGGAGAGCTAGGAAGGTATTGCTGGGTAGTGGATATTAAATTGACACGAACCAATTAGGAATGGGCTGGAGATGAAGAGACAGAGAAAAGAAACACAGACAAACTTCAGATGAAATGGGGTGGAGCTTCTAAGTCCTACACATCTATCTAGTTATGGTAGAATCAAAGCCTTATACACCGATAGGCCAGCCTGTTTAAATTCCCTATATTTACTTCCCTGTTACTCTTCCTTCATATTGAACACAATTCTTGTCCAAGTTCCCACCTGTCCCATCAGCACTCAGGATACATCAGAGACAGTGTTAAAAAGGAAGCAGCCAACCTTGGATGGAGCCACAGAGCAGCAGGAATCCCTCCAAGAAGTGCAAACACAGGGACACCCTCTTTCTATGGCTCACTAGGGATGAGATGAGTTTGATATTATTAGGAAACTCTCATTTCATAGAGCCGCTTGCAGTTTCAGTCCTCTGTGTGCCCTAAACACTGGGTTTAAAATCTTTCCCAATCCAGACACAAAATCCAGAAGCTGTTAAGGAAAATGTTGATAGATTGGTTTCGTAAAAGGTGTAAAAACTTCGTGTGACAAAAACCACCAAAACCAAAACTGAATGATAAGCAACAGACTGGAAGAAAATATTTGTGAACTGCAACACATATTTTAACATTATATTACAATAAGAAGGAATATCCATAACGCATAAGGAGCTCCTCTAAATCAGTAAGGAAGACAAATCTAGTGGACAAAAGATATAAACAGGTAATTTCAGAAGAAATAGAAGCACGAAATGCTCATCTTCAGGAGTAATGACCATACTACAAATGAAAACAAGCTGCCATTTTGTTTGCCCATGAGATTGGCAAAAATCAAAAAGTCTTAGAATAGTGAATACTGGCAAATATAAAGGGATATTGGGAGTTTCTTCTGATTGTGAGAATGTAAACTGTGTAGCCTTTTTAAAGGACAGTTTGACAGTATCTATAAGTACTTATGGTATGCCTCCTATTCATACAACAATTTCATGTCTAGGAACCCATGCTATTTAAGTCCACATGAGGGCAAAAATACAAGGATGTCAACCGCAACAATGTTCCAGACACTGAGAAAGTACTACTAACATCTAACATTTATGAGGGCCAGCACTCTTCTAAGCACTTTGTAACAGACGATATAAGGAAACTGAGATGCCCACAGCTAGGGTGCGGAAACAGCAGGATTTCAGCCCAATTTGTCTCCAGAGTCTGGTATGATGCTAAGAGAGAGAAAATAAGTCTGGTACATCCATACCATGGAATATAGTACAGCAGTTCAAAAGAATGAGGTAGATCTCTGTTTACAGACATGGAGATCCAAGACATATTATTAATTAAGGGGGAAAAAAATCAAGTTGCAAAAGACCGTAAGGCCAGACATGTGGGAAAAAGATACATTTGTGTATATATACAAATAGTACGTATGAGAATAAGGTAAAGGCCTTCACTGACAAGAGAAATGTGTGGTGTGTAGGGAGATTTGGGAGAGTAATTTTTGAGGCATGTTTTACACATGTCTGGTTTAACTTTTACATGAATGCATTTGTGCATTACTTTGGTAAAAAAATAATTGTTCTGTTGACCAAAAAACATAAAAAACAACAACAAAAATAAAACGGTTTAACTCATATCAAGAGATCAGTCTTCTTTTTTTCCATGTAGACAATGGTGCAGGTCTTGGTTAACAATCTTCTATGGTATGGCTTTTTCTAGCGTATGTAGAAGGTGCCTATTATCTATATCTTGCTGATCACTACCTATTCTTTTCAAATAAGGTTTTCATGTCCAGTTATTTGGGACCATGACTTCCTGTTAGCCCACCAAGCTCCATAAAAACATATAGCCAGTTATTGAAAAATTAATTTGGAACCTGAGAACCACATGGCGCTCCTTTTGCTTTGCGTTATTTTGTTGGCTTCAGGGAAAAGGATCCATGATCATGGATTATATCTTATTTTGCTCCAGTGCGTTAGCACAAGTCTCTGGCTCATTTTGTTTTCCTGGTGTGATTGTAGAGGTATGAATGAGTCACTCAACATACAGATTTAAAGGACTTACCTTTTGACCAGAAGTCAGCGTTATTATCTGAGAGGAAAAGGCTATATTGGATCGTTCAGGGCCTCTTCCTGCCTAAGTCCAAGTGAGGGTGGCTTTAATACAAAGCAAAAGATGACGCTGCTGGAACATTTACTGATTAAATTGCTACTTTTACAAGGTTACAGCTTTAGAACTCAGCTGCAGATCTTTGTGAGCTTATCTCTGACATGCCAGTGAGAAATGTTAAGATTCTTATTACTTAATGGAGAGTAGATTATAGCTTTTTTTGGAGTGGTTCAGCTAAGTACAATTTTTCTATTTTTGAAATTTTAATGTTCTCTTAAGCATCTTTACAGAAAAAAAAATTCTCATTCACTTAAAAACAACCATATTCTCTTGTTCTTGCAGCTGCTCATTTTACAGTTGTAAGTAGTGTATACAAACTATTTTGTATCTGTTGTTCATTTAACTTTATTTCCAATACATCTTTTCCTGTACTTGCCAAAGTTTCATGCTTCTGACATAAATCCAACATACCTGCCAGGATTCTGTTAATGTGACAGAGCTTGCTTGGATTATTCTCCAACTGTTGGGACAACTGGGCCCCTTCCCAGGTTTTGGTCATTATGAACATTCTGAAGAGCCTTGCTATAAACATCTTTATGCAAGTCCCCCACCTCTTGGATTATTTCCTGAGACATGGACTTCCTTAAATGGGTTTACTGGGTTAAAGGGGCTCAATGAACAGTTTTATAGCTCCTGGCACATATTTTCCAGATTGCGCCCTGAGTGGATCTGACCAATGGCACGGGCCGCGAGAGGGCAGGAATGCAGAGGAGCGGCCCCTATAACCACCCTTCTTCCGTCCCCCAAAAGGCAAGGACCTGGAGAAGGCCTGCGGATGGAAGCCTTTTTCTATCGCCCTCTTATCCTCTTCCTGATTAGTGTTGAAGCCCAGGCTGGGAGAAGACCGCTGGGGACCCGCACAAAGGTTTTCGGATTCCAGGACTTCTGCCCTGGGGGGCTGAAGCAACTCTTCCAGGCCCTCCATACCCGGACTAGGAGTCCAGTTTCCGACTCCCATTGCACACTCCCCCAGCCTTTCCACTAAAATCTTCCTGGCCCAGGCAGGCCTCTTGCCAGCGCAGAGCCCTGCAGGCGAGGGCAGCGACTGGCGGTCGTTATTATTTTGGCGCGGGTGATGCAAGGCCCGCATAGCTGCGCGCTGAGTCAGTGGGGGCGGGCCGACCCATTCCCCCCCAAACCTTCCCGAGCCCCCCCCCCCGGGCCCGGCGGCGGCGGGGGTGGGCGGCCGGCCTCTGAATCCGCGGGGTCGCCCTCCGGGGCAGGGTCAGGCGGGAGCGGGGCCGCGGAAAGACCCCAGCCCCGGGCGCGCTCTCCCCTCCCCCAGCTGGAGCTCGGCGGGTCAAGCGAGGCGGTCACCGAGCGCCCGGCCATTTACCCTCGGAGAACTCGAAGAGGGGGAGGAGGAAGCGGGGAAGGAAGGAGGATCCAAAAGGAGAAACACGAAGCGGGACCGACAGGAAGAAACGAAAAAATGGAGGCGAAGGGGCGAC